AAAATCGCATGCTGTCAGAATTACTCTAGAAAATCACTTAGAATGTCTCTATTTTAGAGATCTCAAGGTCTACTACAGTCAGTTTTCTCAGCAGCAGTGGAAAAGATATCTTCAAGACAGATAACTGGCTTATAAGATTTGGGCCAACCATACTGTGGAGTGAACAGATCCCCTTCCTTCAAAGATATTAAATTCTGAGAAATGTCTATAGCAAATGAGGTGTCTACACAACAAGAGGCTGAGGGAATGGCAGAGTCAAGTTCTTTTTGGCATACTTTCTCTATTATTGTAAATTTTTGGCTGAATGGTGAATGCATGGCTCCTGCATGGCAGCAAGCAGGATGCTCTCTTGCCTACCTGGGGCCCCATGCATTACGGAAGGTTAAGCTGCAATAAATGACCCAGATAGCGGGAGGATCTAGAGAGAATAAATAGCATTACCTTGACATTAAAAGGGATATTTCTCTGGGTCTGTAAGAACTGTCAATGTCATCAAATCACCTAATCTAGGTAGCTATGACACGGACAGAAAATCACTCCAACTCACATTTGCCATTAGTATACTGGCCAGTTTACCCTGCCTCTCTGCTTTCAGAATCGGAATGTGTTCAACATCACATGATTTTTACTCTAGCACCACAATTATAATCAGTATTTGACAACAGACCTTCAAGCATTTAGAACAAACATATCTATTGTGTGCTTATTGTGATATGTTTGAGAAGTGGGAGTAAATATTAATGAAACACATTTCCTTTATCCTCCCATCTAGTGGAAGAGCAAACAATACACAGGACAATAGAACAGGATCAGCGCAAGTAGAGGGCTCTACAGGAACACACAGGGGTGGGTCTTACCTTAAGTCAGGCTCAGAAGAGGGAGGCAATTCTTTCAAAATGCAGGGAGCTGCATGAGTCTGTGGCATGAGTAGCAGTTTTTGTCTGACTTGAGTGTTGATGATGAAGTGAATAGAAGATGCCTATATTTTCAGGAAAAATAAAATGTAGATATCAGCCAGAAAGAAGAGTCTACAGCTCTGATGAGAACCTGAAGAGCAGTTGAAAGCTCAATCCTAAAAGAAAACAGCAAAATTGACAGCCCTCAATGGCATCTCAGTCCCTTGCTACAGTGATGTTTTCATGAAATATCAAATACTTTGAAAACTTTATATGAAATAGTATGCTAAATGTGTCTGAAAATCACTGGCAATATCAAAAGCATAAGTTTACATGCAACTTTTAAACAAGATCTTCCAAACACTCACGGGCATATTTGGACTACTGACAACACAGCATTAGCAAAAGGTTGAGCAACACCCTTCATTCAGGTAAGTAACTAGTCATCGATCAGTAATTTTATCACTGAGGCACACATTATTCAGAGGAAAACAAAAACAACACTGGAATTATTGGGAACTTTCAATAGAAGAAAATATTAAAAACATCTTTTTCAGTCCACACAAAAATATCTCTTGGCCACCAAAGCATATAAATAGGGTCTAATAACCAGGAAAACAGGGCTGAGACTATAGATTTTTTCCATAGTTCCTTTTACTAGGTTTAATTGTATTTGGTTACTCAGTGTACCATGCATTAGATGTATTACTAGTTGGACTTTTTTTAAAGCTTCTTGCTTGTTAATTGTGACGCATGCTGAATTTCTTGGAAGTTATTTTATTTTACTTTAGATTCAGGGGATCCATGTGCAGGTTTGTTACATGGATGTTGCAAAATGGCGAGGTTTGGGCTTTCAATATTGGATTACTATTTTCACTTCAATACTGTTGTCACCAAGAAGGCAAATGTGTGTGTCAAGTCCTAATGAACAACTATTTCTATCCCCAATATTAGAAGCACAAGAGGAAATAGTGCAAAGAGATAGACACAATGTTAGTAATTTCATTTTCTATACTTCACCTTATTGAATCATTTCAGAAGATGTGCCTTCATAAAAGCCCTATCAAAATCATACGCCCGCCTGCAGGAAAAATAGCAATCCATATTCAAACTTCCTATAGTCACATACGACTTGAAAAATATTGAATGTGAGATTGTCCTCATCATTTCACCAAGTCATTTAAAGACAAAACAATTGTCAGGAGCTGCCACAAATGATATTGTTTAAACACCCACTAGCAATGTGTGTTAATATATTCTTTGCCTTACAAATTTCTAAATGTTTGCTTCAAAATAGTAGGGGAGAGTAAGTGCTCCCATTATATTCAGTGGAAAGTTTTATTCAATGGGACGCAATAACATATAATGAAACAAAGCACCTATGATTCAGAATGAGAAAGACCTGCTTTTGAATCTTGGCTTTGTCATTTACTAGCTGTATGACCTTGGAAAAATTGTTTAACATCTCTGAACCCTGGCTCCCTGAGCTCCAAAACAGAGGTATTACTAGCTACCTAACTAGGCAGTGGTGTTAATAAAGACATCACTTATAAAGCATACTATATTGCCTGGCTCAGTTTAGAGACTCAGTAATAGCTACTGTCATGACTATTTGTTATTAATACTAAAATGGCTTTTATTGGCTTCTGATTTGTTAGTGCTCTTCTAAATGTGCAATTCAGGAGAAAGAGCTCAGGCTTTGGACTACTAAAACCTGTGTTTGAGTCCTGAATGTTCTGTGAAATTCAGGAAAGGCAAATTAACCTCCGGACCAAAGCTTCTTCCAATGAAAAATCTGAGTATACCTTGCCAGATTATTACAAAGACTGAACGAGGTCATCTTCCGGGCAAAGAGAACACATTCAGTGACTAGTCATTTCTAGTAACTAATATTATTGCAATAGCAGTAGTCGAAAAACAAGGAATCATCTGATTTATGTATCTTGGAGCAAAATAACACAATTTTTACAAGGATGGAAAACAGGGTTGTCTTTGGTTGTCAACCCTGCTGGTTACTGATGCCACAGGTGTTTCATCAGAATGACTACAGTATTTACTGAAGCCATGTATGCATGCAATGTTGATAAATGCAGAAATTAGGATGCCCAACATGTCACTATGATTATTTTTAAATATTGTGAGATATCTGCACAAAGCCACTTGCAAATGCAAAATATTCTAGATACTATATTTTACAAACTGGGAGTATAAGCATCTTATTTTCATGAGTAAAGAATTGGAAGAAACAGTAATAATATGTGGGACAGCAAGAAAAATAAAAAGGATTAATTTTCACCCGATTTTTCTACAAAGCAGTTTTTTGGCAAAGCATTGTCCTAATCTGTCATCATCCAAACATTCTAAGTTAACTTGTTTCCATTTATTCAAATCAGTAGTAATGATTATTGTAGATGAAGGGAAGAACAGAGATCTTAAAATAACAAAGGTTTCTCAAGGGTGATTCTAAAATGCCCCTATTACAAATAATTGCTTTAACACAACACGTATAGAAAATAAGAGCATTCCATTTAAGTACCAGTTCTACAGAAACCAAAGAAACAGGCCTGAGAAAATTCGCTTTAAAGTAATAAACTGGTTTTATTTCCTAGAACTGAAATATTCTATGGTTGGTTCTCAGATCTAAACTTGCAAAGCTGCAGCCAACAATTTTTCATCAGAGCCCAAGGGAGAGGGGAAGGGGTGAGAGAGACAATAAACGAAGAAAGGCATAGAGACCATTAGGAAGAGGGTGGGAGGAGAAGCATCTTCCTCTGTTTTATCAGTGAGCCACAAACTAGACCTGTTGAGGGGACCAGGTTGGGGCATGTAAGTAGAAAATGACACTGAGGAACAGCAAAGCCTTACAAGTCATCAAACTTCAAACAGTAAAGGAGCCTTCCAGTTCATCTCAGAAATGGAATAGCAATGGGAAAGCTAGAGCCAGCATGGAGCCACACGTAGGGGTAGTTCTTAATTTTTTTTTTTTATAATTTCCTTGTATAAAAAAGATTTTCTAAAATATGTGTCTTTTCTTCTATGCCTGAGTGACATACATTACCATAGGATGGCCTTGAGGGTGTGGGGAGAGAAAGGGGAGCCAAGGATCTTTCCAAGGCATCCCATCAGTGATCCCCGAGATCTAAATGGGGACAGATATTTCTCATTGTCCCCACCCAGCATATTGGGTAAAGTCAAGTTCTCAGATCTCACAAACAACTTGGAAGCCCCCAAACGTTTTGATGAAAAAAGGCAACTCCCAGAACTTCCTGGTCAGTAAAAGAATTTGTGGAAGGGGGGCCATTCCCCACATGCTGCCCTACTTTTCCCGGAATGTCTGAAGCTGGGAGGTATGGGAGGATGAACAGGAGCTTCAGAAGATGTCATTCTCCTGCCTGCTAACTCCCACCGCTTGAAGACTGCCCCTTCCCAGGCTCTGGAAGGGGGCACTTTTTATCTTCCAGACCTTCCACACCTACCCCTATTCTTAAGCAGAGGTCCACAATGCCTGGGGGAGCAGGAGAGGGGCGAAGAGGGTGTCTAAAGGTGAAAACAGCGTGCCTGAGCCCCAAGTCGTAAATGGATCCAAGAAAGGGGCAGGGGGCTGATGGTGGGCGACGGGGGGAGGGTTATGGTGGAGGGGCAGGAGGAGAGGGAAGTGGGGAATGGTGGTCTCACATTATCCCAGGGAACTAAGGGCCTTACTCAGATCACAGAGGCGTCGCGGCACAGAGGCGAGAGCCAGGTGGCCTTCCATCCAGGGGCCGGGAATGACTATGGAGGGTGGGTTGGAGGAGGACGGGATGGGGAAGGGGGGAAAGGCAGTCCCAGTTTGAAGGCGGTGGTCATGATGGTTGGGGAAAGGGTGGGGGGAGTTAGGGGAGTGCTGGTGGGAGGAACAGGGGGAGGGAGGGTGATGGTGGGCGAGAGGAGAGGAAAGCGGGGATGGTGGCCTCACTTTATCCCAGGGAACTGAGGGCCTGACTCAGATCACAGAGGCGTGGCGGCACAGAGTCGAGAGCCAAGTGGCCTTCCATCCAGGGACGGGGCATGACTACGGAGAGTGGGTTGGAGCGGGACGAGATGGGGATGGGGGAAAGGCAGTCCCAGTTTGCAGGCGGTGGCCAGATTCCCCAGGAAGAGCCAGGCCGCGGCAGGAACGGGGGGGCGGGGGGGCTCTTCTGGAAACGCTGGTAACTACAGGCTGTCGCGATCTCCGCCGCCCGGGCCCTCGGCATCCCACTCCTGGGAGGGCTCCTCGTCATCGGCTTCTTCCTCCTGGAGCTCCTCCTCCTCTGGCTGGGACTGCTCGCAGGTCAGGCCGGGCTCGCTGGGGGCACTGCCGTTCTCCACCGCCACGAGGAGCGGACTCTCCCCGTCGACGTCCGCCGCTGCCTCCGCCTCCGCCTCCTCCTCCTGGTCGGCGGCGGCCTTCTTAGGCCGTTTGGGGGCGTCCTCCGGCGGGTCCCCCGCGCTCCTCTTCAGCGGCCCCTTCTCCTCCTCGGCGGGCTCGTTGCCGCCCGGCTTCCTCGGCTCGTCGCCGCCGCCCTCGGCGTGGTTCGGCTTGTCCGCGTCGCTCTCTGCGGCCTCGGGCTCCGGCCGGGGCCCGTCTCCACCGCCCTTCTCCGGGGCGAACACGCAGTCGGAGGCCTGGACCGTGGGGTTGTTCTCGATCTCCCACAGCCCCTCGCGGAAGCCGCGCCTCTTGTTGGGCTTGCCGAACTTCTCCTTGGACTCCTGGTACGGGAACAGGCGTTTGGGGCTCAGGAAGGCCGTCTCGTGGGTTCCGAAGAAAAACACCTGGTAACGGTTGGGCTGGGTCATGTGCTCTACCCGCGCCGGCCAGTGGGCATAGCCCTTTAACTTGGCAAACACCAGGTCCCCGCTCTTGTACTGGGGCAGGCGGTAATCCGACATGGTTGGCTCTGCGGACCCTGCCTGGGCCACACCGGAAGGAGACGCCGGAAGCAGACTCCGGAGTCTGCGCACGCGCGGCAAGGGCGGCCGCTGGGCGGGCGTTGTCGCGAGACCTGCTAGAGGGGCCGAGGCCACCTATTGGCAAGCAACGCTCGGGGCCCCGAGAAGATTCCTCTGCGAAGCCTGTGCTGTCTCCAGAACGCCCGAAGCCCGTTGGACCCATTCTCGGACGCCATGATGTCTAGAATGCTGAAGGAAATAGGTGGGATGGCCGGGTGGCGGTTGTGCGTTCTGTGGCCTTGTGCGGCTAATCAGTCTCTACGGCACCTGGACCAGACGGTTGCATAGTTTAAATAAACGGTGCCAGAGCCGCCTAGAAAGGGGGCGATATGAGAAGAAAACACAATGACACAATTAGTACATATTTCCATGAAACTGGTAACAGCCCAGTGCAAGTATGCAGTGTCCCTGTGGGCCCCGGTCTGCTCACTACGGGAAACTACACCTGCGTCAGGAGCAGCTGTGTCAGTGGTTTCAACCCTTTTCTGATTTCTTCCGGGACTAGCGCTGGAGCCTGCAGGGAGGGTCAAGAAGCACGTGAAGGTCTGGTAAAGGGATAGAGTCAGCAGCCTGGTTAGGAGGTCTAGAATGCACATCACTTGGTGACAAAAATATCAAACATTATGTCTTTAGGGTCACAAAAAGCATATAGGAACACCACCACCACGACAAATAGACATCTAAATATTTCCTACTTGCTACAAAAATGTTCCTTGGATGCCGGACAGGAAATTTACACCCTGTTGGTGATTCTTCTGTATTGTGAAAAATGAGGCTGTCTGGTTGTAACACTGAGATTATGACACATGTTTTCAGTATCCTTCTAGAAGAGATGAAAATTGGGTTCATTATGCATAAGAATTAGGCAGAGATCTGTTCATATCGAACATGCTATTGGTAACTAGAATTTCCTGTGGGCTACGGACTAAAAATGTATAATCTCCGCTGAGAATCTATTTTAAAAAGAATTTTCTTCAGATATAAGTCTCTTCTA